CAAGACTTGCTGTGTTAACCCAGCCCTCCCCTGCAAGCTTTTGTGTATAAATGGTGTCTAAGGAAAGAGAGAGACTTCACTATGAGTTTTTTTTGGTGTTTTTTTTTCCCCTCAGTTTCAGGCAGGGATGAAATAGTAGATCCCTGCAAGCTTTTGTGTGTAAATGGTGTCCAAGGAAAGAGAGAGACTTCACTGTGGGGATTTTTTGTGTTTTTTTTCCCCCCCAGTTTCAGGCAGGGATGAAATAGTAGAGAAATGCATCTGCATACTGCAGAATTCCTGTATAAATGTGCACAGCATGGAGGGGAAGGATTACATCGCTGCCTTACCTTTCCAGGTGAGTCCTTGGGGGGTTTTTTTTGCCCACAAATAGCCTTGTTCCCTGGCTGCACCCCGTGCTGGTGTGGGGAGGTGTTCAGAGAGCACTGCTGGGCTGGCTGCCTGAGTATAGCAAGTGCTGGATTGGGTTTTTTGGTCTCATCACCAACGTGGCTGTGGTTTCTTACAGGTGGCAAACGTCTGGCCAACAAAATATGGGTTGCTGTTTGAGCGTAGCAGTTCTGCCCATGAAGTCCCTCCAAGCCCACCCAGGTTTGTAACCAGTAGATTTGGTGGCTTTGGTGTAGGCTGGGTGTTAATCTGACACAGGAGCTCAAGAGTTTTGGAGCAGCAGTGGAGAGATCTGCCTGTTTGTGGCAGGGATGGGTGAAATCAGGTGGATTCTCAGTAGCAGGGAGGGGCTGAATGCTGACAGTTGGTGATATTCCTCTCCTGCTGTCTTGCTGAGGAGCTGCTTGGGAGCAGTGATGCTGGGAGGAGGGTTTCAGAGGCACAATAGGGGTGTCACTAGCCTGATTTTGTTAAGGTTTGCCCTGGGAACTGGCTCCAGGCTGGGACAGGTGACTGAGGTTCACTGAGGGGCTGTCATTGTGATGTTTTCTCTCAGCTCCATGTCTGGGGCATTCTGTTCCCTGTTTGGTGAGGATCCTAGGCCCTGTGGCTGTGGTACAGCTAAGAAGCAGAGTGAGATGCTGTGTGAGGAGCAGCTTTCATCCAGCCCCTTGCTCCTTCTTGGGCTTTATGTGTCCCTTCCAGCTAACTGTCATACTCTAGTCCTCAGAGGAGCTGGGATTTGAAGTAGAGGCCCTGAAAATGTTCATGCATTGCAAAAATCATGATTGACTCTCCTCAAGCTGGCCTTCCAAATTAATGTAGAAGGTGGAGGCACCTCGTGGTGGTCACCTCATCAGGTCCCACCCAAGGCTGGCCAGACCCTGGGTGAAAATCAGTCAGGAGGGTCTTTCCTTCCTGGTTGTGGGCATCATCCATGTGCCAACCCTCATGCAGGGCTGGGGCTTTAACCCCAGCACTTCAGTGGCTTGATTGTTTCTCCTGGGTGGATACAGATGACCTGATGGTGGTCTCCTTGTCTGGGAGCTGTGGAGCCTAAACTCTTAAGATGAGTCTGAGTTAGGGGCTTTCTTCTCTGCCTGTTCCTCCTCCAAACTCAGCGGGTGGCAGCTCTGTTCAGCCAAAGCCCGTTGTGTGGCCACCAGGTGGGGTCATTCCCAAGTGCTGTGAGAGGTGCAGCCAGACTTCACCATCCTGCCTGATAACACCAGCCTTGGTCTGGCTCTGCTCAGTGAATCCAGCAAGCTTCTGTCAAGGGCAGATCTGTCTCTGCTGCTGGATTTCAGGCTCTGCTATGTTAAGGTCTGAGGAGCTGTTTTGGGCTGCCAGCTAGGAGAGAGGACAATTAGTGGATGGGTTTTGACCATGCTTGCTTTGTTTTCTTTCCAGAGAACCTTTGCCTACCATGTTCAGCATGCTACACCCATTAGATGAGATAACACCACTTGTCTGGAAGTCTGGAGGTAGGTTTGTGTCTTTAAAGTGTCACTTGGAGTCCATCAGTCAGGCACAGAATGATTAATGCATCACTTGAGCATTTTCTGTAGCACAACACTTGCAAATAGTGACTCTTACAAGAACTCAGGAGTTTTAGCTGCTTTGTGAGCAGGGATAGAAACTCAAACTGCAGAAGAAAGAGAGTAGGAGAAGTGCTAAGCCCATAGAATCATAGAGTCCTTGAGGTTGGAAGGGACCTCCAAGATCATCAAGTCCAACCCTTGAGCCATTAGGGCTCTAAAGTCCTCTGCTAAAACAGATCAGAATCTGTCAGGGTTGGAAGGGACCACAAGGATCCCCCAGTTCCAACCCCTCTGCCATGAGCAGGGACACCTCCCACTAGATCAGGCTGCCCAGAGCCTCCTCCAGCCTGGCCTTAAAGACCCCCAGGGATGGGGCCTCAACCACCCTCATTCCAGGGTCTCACCACTCTCATGGGGAAGAACTTCTTCCTCACATCCAGCCTGAATCTGCCCACTGCCAGCTCTGCCCCATTCCCCCTAGTCCTGTCACTGCCCAATATCCTAAAAAGTCCCTCCCCAGCTTTCCTCTAGGCCCCCTTAAGATACTGGAATAAGGTCCCCTTGGAGCCTTCTCCTCTCCAGACTGAACAGCCCCAAGTGGAGAGGAGAAGGCTCAGAGGTGACCCACACTTGTGGGACCTGAAGCCACCCGAGGAATTCCCAGTACACGTGTATAGGAACCACAGACACTCTACAGAGGAACTGGGATGATGAAGGGAATGACTTGCCCTAGACCAGCAGCCTAAAATCAACCTGGACCCCAGCAGGGTTAAAGCTGGGAGGCTGGAGGAGCAGAATATGACCCACAGCACCCCACCACAGGAACTCCCTCAGGCCTAGCACACGGACTGTGCCACCCAAACCCACGACACCCCCTTGGAGCACCCCCACCTCGGGGGATAGGAGCCCAGGGCTGAGCCCCTCCCTGACCCCCCCAAGCAGGGCCAGGTCTCCCAGCTGAGAACCCTGCTGCCAGAATGATCCTTTGGCCTGAGGTCAGGTTTTTCAGCAGGGGTGCCTGGCTCTGCTCGAGTGCAGTACGTCGCCGACCACGCCCTGAGGATCGTGTTCCTCAGTGCTGAGCCCTCCATGGTGATGACCTATGACACCCTGCAGAGTTCACACACAGTCTGGGCCCTTCGGCGGGTGAAGCCAGAGGTACAAATTCATCCTGGACTCAAAAACATTGGCAGAAGTTGGTGGTGGTGGTGGTGGGGTTTACCTGCCCTTGTGGCTCCCGGTTACCTGCCCTTGTGGGTCATGTTTAGCTGCCCTGGTGGCTCTGTGTGGTAGAAATGCCTGGTATCTGTGATTTATTTTATTTTTAAGAGAGCAGGATGTTTGTTGATGTGTTTTTAATAGTTTTTCATGCATTTACCTCTACCACAGCCAGGGAGATCCCATGATGGTCACGAGATCTATTGTGCTTATCATGATCCTCCTTGCCTTGCGCTGGGAGGTTTGGATTCTAACTCTTGAAGAAAAGTGACAAAAAAAAACCCCCCTGACTGCCCTGAAAACCACAGGAGCAGTTTCTGTGACTCTTGAAGGAGGCGTGATCTGTAGGATTCACTTCTGAGGCTGAGCTGTTTGATGCTGCTCTGCTGAAATCAACCCTCTGAGGGTCTCCCCGGGCCGCGGTCGCCCCCGCGCCGCCTGCCCAGAGCTCTGTCCTCTCTCTCCCAGGAGCAGAACACGGTGCTGAAGTTCTCAGAGCAGATGGGCACCCCTCAGCACGTGCCCACCAGCAGCTCTCTGACCGCCCACCTCCGAAGCTTCTCCAAAGGGGACTCCCCAGTGGGGTCCCCCTTCCAGAACTACTCCTCCATCCACAGCCAGAGCAGGTCCGTGTCGTCGCCCAGCCTGCAGTCCCGCTCGCCATCCATCTCCAACATGGCAGCTTTGAGGTGGGTGCCAAGCATGACACAAAGCCCTGTGGTGGCAAAGGATGCTCCATTCTCAGTTGGGGAGATGTGGGGGGTTTGATGAGGGCTCTCCAGTGGGTGAGAAACTGGCTGGGTGCTCACACCCAGAGAGTCGTGGCCGACGGCTCGACGTCGAGCTGGGCACAAGTGACCAGTGGTGTCCCTCAAGGGTCCAGGCTGGGACTGGTGGGGTTGGACATCTTCATCAGTGACATAGACAGTGGCACTGAGTCACCCACAGCAGGTTTGCTGAGGACACTGAGCTGAGGGGTGCAGCTGACATGTCAGAGAGGTGAGAGGGCATCCAGAGGGACTTGGAGAGGTGGCTCAGGGGAACCTCGTGAG